GCCACGTTTGCTCGGAGAGACAATCTCTCGTCCTTCTTACACGCGGCTACTTCGTCTAATCCGTCTTACACTCGTCCGCGTTTGCTCGGAGAGACAATCCTGCTCCTTTCTGGCACTCGGCCGCTGTGGTCGACGCGTTTGCTGGTCGAGACAATCCTCATCCTTTCGTACACTCGGCTACAATGCGGTTTACGCGGCCGCGTTTGCGCGGAGAAACAATCTCTGCTTATACGCGAATGCGTATGCGCATTCTATATTAGTTCTACACTATACCCTTAGAATGCACGTGCGCAGCTTTTAATAATTAAGTTCCCCTAAAGGAGAATACGACCCCGTCATAGTATTCATTTAAATGTACATTTTGTATGCATTTGACCGGTACCCACCTGTTCCTATGGTCATGTTAAAAGAAGTGGACTACACAGAAAAAGAACAAGGCAAATGTAAGCACAAGTAGAAGAGAGCAGAAAAAAAAAAAAGAAGGTATAGAATAATGTAAACAAGAAATGTATTATGTATATCACATAATGAAGTAAAAGTGGTCTACCGTTAGCATGCGTTATGTCGCATGCATATGCGCCGTCATCCGAAGGTCACAGTTGCTCCAATAGTTCATCCACATATAACTCCCTATCGTGCAAACGACATTCGACCTCGCACTGTTCTATGACTAATGCCAGGATCAGTATCCATATGTTAGCGGTTAACGGTTTTGTCATATGCGGTGGCTGATGCAGTGGTTGCGACCGTGGTACATATGTCACTCTTAGAACATCTTCTGTTCCCATTACTGTTTCCACTTCTAAGTGTTGTTCCTCGCGAGGTACTTCGGCTTTTTGCGCTACTGTCTGGTCCTCTACATTATTCAACAAATGTTGAAACCACTGCTCTGCCTTGTATGTACTCAGTTGCCGATGTAGTTGGGCAACCCACTGTCTCCATGCGTGCTTCTTGCTGTCCATGGTTGCGGCTGTCCTGTGCTCACCGGATGTTCCGTGTGCCACCATGTGATCACGCACGTATTGGTTCCAATGCGCTTTCAATTGCAGAAACCACGGCTGCGTCGTGCACGCGCGCAGCGTATGTTTGTTGCGGTCAATCCAGTTAATCCAATGGATGCAGTCCGACGTCGAGTCTCCGGGGTTGGAATGAGCATTCTGTTCTGCATGGAACTGTATAGTTTCCATACAATTCCATCGGTCCTCTTCGTTAGGGCGACAAGGGTCCGTTGCTAACTGTATGGTTTCCATACAACTCCATGGATCGGGGTCATCTTCGTTAGGTGCAGAAGGGTCCGTTGCTAACTGTATAGTGTCCATACAATTCCATGGATCGTGGTTATCGTCGTTAGAAGCACAAGTGTCCGTGGCTAACTGTATGTTTTCCATACACTTGCATGGATCGGGGTCGTGTTCATTAGGTGGACATCGATCTATGCCGTCGGACTCAGTGGATGGAACATTGGTTCCTGGTAAACCCTCGTTTGTGGTAGGGGGATCCGAGGTACTACTATACTCGTTTGGATCCGGCTCCAAGTCATGTGCAAACTCCTCCACGACAATGTTCCAATAGTCCTCTTTGACGTTTTCCCACTCGGCCTCGTCACATTCGTGGAGCACTTCTAGATGTAGTTCAATGATCGTGCGGTGATTCACGCGTGGATGACGTCGTCGTCGTGCGGATGTTGACGCAGGTTGCGTAACCATTTTGTACCCGTAATCGGGTGGGGGCTCGCCGCGTTGTAGATGCTCCAATATTTCTTCGTCGAGTGGCGGTGACGGGACGTCACGAACGGTGCGATATGTTCGTCGTCGTTTAGCGAGGTACGCAAAGTACTAAACAAAAAAAGGAACGAGGACGATGTAGAAGAGTGCATTTGTGTGGGCATGGTCTTAAGAGCCCCGTTTGGAACACATTTGTGTATGGTACATATGACGGATACGCATATACGGTGTCGCGTATATACTTACCTTCCAAAGGGAATAACCAAGAAGGGCCACGGTGACGGCGGACAGGAAGAAGAGTACGGGAGTAGTGGCGGCAAGGACGGTGTCTGTTAAGTCGGGTGCATGGGGGCCACTGCCGTCCGGATTTTGACCTGGGTGTTCATTTGTTCGATCGGGCAGTTCAATTCCTGGCTTAAGTGGTACAAATCCTCCCCCAGGGCTACCTGCATCTGTGCGTAACATGTTATCGAAGACAAAAGGATAATCATCCTCGGGTGTACTAGAAGACTGGCCTTCGGGAGAACCTGCCGAAGCATTGGAGCTGTCAGGTCCAGAACCAGAGGAAGAAGAGGTCTGCGTATTCTTGCACTGGGGATCAGCAGTGTCGAATAAGCGGAGACCAGTACAGTCCGAGATGGGGGGTACAGCTGGCGTCGGCTGTAAGTTCTGCTGCGGGTTTCCGGCTTGCGGTTTGGGTTTGGATGGATTGAGAGGAGGGGTGTCATCATTGCCGCCATCGACGACGGCATTGTTACGGTCATCAGATTTTGCACCTTGGTCACCAACTGCACCGCTGGGACCTGCTTCACCGGACTCACCGGGGGGACTCTGAGATTCGGTGGAGGTGGCCTTTCCAGAGTCCAGTGCTGTGTTTGTTGCACCAGGGTCAGCGGTTTCCGGCGATTTGTCGACCACTGGTGTTGTCGCTACTGTCCCCGCTGATGATGGTTCAGGTGCACCCTGTGGTGTTTGTGATGCGTCTTGGGGTTTTTGCCTTGTTGTTGCATCAGCCGCTTTCTTCTCACCTGAGTATGAAGAAAGAACAATGAACGTGAACGTAGAGGAACTGCGGTCCGGATGGTTACGGGTGGCCATGGTCGGCTGATCGCGGTCCGTCGTTTCACGACATCACCGTCGCTGGATGGTTGACTACGCGGTCGGCACCATTGGTGACGTGGGGACGGCGAGGCATGAGACGGACGGGGGGTGGCAGGTGCCACCCCGGGACCAGACTCTCTCTCTCCCACCCACACACAACACACACACACAGTGTGTGTGTGTCGATGTCTGCGTCGACGTCTACATCCAGCGGCCGACCCGTCGCTCATGGCCCGCGCACGCTGACACTGAGTCCGCCCCTCATTCTCATGCGACGTTTGGTTTCTCTCGCTCCGTGTTGTCTCTCCCGTCTCTCTCCTGAAAATTTGTTTTTGTGTCTGTGTTGTTGTGGTGCTCCGTCTTTTTCACACTCCCGCACATGTCCCCTCTATGTAAACTCTGGTGAACACTTTTGTGGGCGCTCGTCAAGCATGAGTGCGAGATGATGCGAAATCTTTGCTCCCATTACTCTTTTTGTGCGTAGGGTTAGAATTAGTTGCCGGACTGGTCTGAGTGCGCAAAAGTTCCTTAATCTTTTCACATGACGCTTGACCTTCAGGGGTATAGTGGCCTTTGGTAATGCTCACACGTGAACCTACATGTGACTCTATAGCGGCGTGCGGATTCTTGGGCTTATCGTCCGGGCAAGTATACTCACCTGTTTCAGTTTCTTTGTGGTTGTTAGGTGTGCGCTCGTCCTTTCCTGCAGGGTCCTTTGACTGCGGTGGTTGTGGAGGTGGGGGTTGTTGTCCAGGTGCTGGTCCTGCAGGTGCTGGGCCTGGTCCTTGGCCGGGTGCTCCTTTTGCCTTGGCGCCTGCTGCAGGTGCTGGTAATACTGGAGATGCCGGTGCTTGTGGTTGGGACAGTGACCTCGCGCCTCCGGAGTCTGTCACTCCTGATCCTGCACTTGGGTTACCTAAGATGCGGAACGCAAGAAACATGGTCGAAAAGATGATAAAAAAAAAAAAAGGGACACAAGTGGTACAGAAAGAAGGGGCCGGGACGGTGTGGCCCGGTAGCGGCAGGGTAGGTCGGCTGCATGGATCGATGCAGTGGGTCGGGGTAAGACTCGGTGAACTGGGTCAGGCGGAATCCAGCGCACAGTGAGGTGGACTGCGTACTCGGTGGACTGGCGTAGATGTTATCAGTACACTTTTATTTGTCGCCGTCATGTGGTTCGCTGCACACTCTTCTACACGCGGGCCGCCGGCGCTCAACGCCAACGAAGTGGGGATGGTGTTCGCTGTTGTGCTGCTGTTCCGCCGTGCGCGTTGTTGCGGCATGCGCATCCATACGTGCCAGCCTTTGGCATGCTATGCGGCCGTATGCGTGCTTTCTCCCTTCGTTCCTTACCTGCCGGTACGTCTGGTGCTGGTTTTCCGCCGGCCACAGAGTTCGATACTTTGGCCTTACTTGCGTCATCCTGCGGATCGCTACGGGAGACAGCTTCGATAGGCTCCATGCATGCGCCATTCTCCTGCGCGCATTGCGCTACTGCTGTCTTTACCTCCTCAACTATGGTCTTCAGTTGTTGGCCTAACTTACGTATAGCTTCTTTCTCCTTTTCCCTCAGTTCTGTGTTGTCATGCATGGTATGTGTACCCGGTGTTACCCTGTCAAGTTCTCCTAAGCTTTTCGTACATATGCTTTCTATACCCTGGCCTCCAATTTTTTCAGTCAAGCTCTTGTTGCTCTCTAACCATGCCTGAATCTTTTTTGCCATGTCGAATTCCTGTGTTTGTATGTTTTCAAACACTCCGTGTCCACATTTTCCCTGCTTAATTAATCCACCCATAGATTCCTCCATCTGTTTCACAGTGTACCATGCATTATCTATTCCCATTGTACTTTTGCATGGAGATGCCAGCAATATGTACATAAATATATTTACTATTGCGCATCTTATATATTCCTTCAACGCTGCATTATTAGGGTCGGTAGTGTGCGAACCGCCGGACTGCGTACCCCACCCATTCAGGAAATATAATGCTCCTGTCATGAGTGTGCACATAATTCTGTCGCCCACGTTAGCTATGAAGAAGGTTGATCCCCCACCCTCACGCGTGTAACCCCTGTTTGAACAATTAGCTGCATAGCTGTCTAGGTGCTCATCGTCCATATATGCCGCAAATTCGTCGAGTAGCGCTGTTATATCGTTCCATAAGCTTTTCTGCATTGTGCATAAGGAACATATATGTGTGTGCATAAGTGGCCACTGCACCTCTCTCGTCCATATTCGCATGTGCCCATGCCTTGGTGCGTACTGCGCGTACGGTATCGTCCCATTGTATTATTAATAGGGAATTAGTGCACGATCGGATGCGTACAATTATATATACAGGCATGTATACATACTATCATATATAGAGGCGGTTATAAGTACACTGCGCTGCGCGGTCTGAATCTTAATAAATTACCTTATACATCTCCTTGTTATCAACTAGACCTCGTGTCTTCACATAATTTGCTAATAAAGCCCCTAACGTCGCATACGACATATTGTCACAACCATAAACCAATATAATGAAACGAATGATATCATTATCTCTCAGATAACGGCTTGAATATAATATGGGCACAATATTTTATTACATATTATTCAGATGCTTGGGGAATGGAATATGTCTTCCTTGTAAGATCCTTGCGGACACATCGCACGTGGCCGAACTGTCCCTATCTGAATGTAATGACACATCCTACAAAGCGTGCGATGAGAAAAAAAAAAAAAAAA